CGGCCCATAGAGAAAAAACCTCAAAAAAAAAAAAAAAAAACCAGAAAAAAAAGAAGTGTATATGGAGGATCAGCAATTGGTGTAATGGCTATGTCGATGGACTCCCATGTGGTCAATCGTGGTTTGAATCCCAGACCCGGTGGCTTAAATGCACGCCAGGTGCGTGTGTATGCGTGCCCAAAAACCTGAGAGAATGGAGGAGAAGGGATTGCAGTGTGGCCATCCTCCCTGGGGGGTAATTTCTTGCTTTCTGTCTCTCTGTCTGTCTCTGTCTTTCTGGCGAACACAGGCATCCTATAGCAAAAACCTCTCCCCCCAAAAAAGAAGTGTATATGGTACTAGCTAGTGGTGTGGTGGTTGAGGTGGCTGGATCCCACATGGCCAACTGTACAGTTCAAGACTTGGATCTGGCTTGAGAAACATGCCAGGTCCAAGTGTAGATGGAGGAGAGGGAATGCAGTGTGGCCATTCTCCCTGGGAGGTGCTTTCTCCCCTTCCCTCCCTCTCTCCAGTGAGTATGCACCTCCTATAGCAAATTAAAAAAAAAAAAAAAAAAAAAAGTGTATGTGAATTTTGCACTGTTCTTAAGTACTTTCAAACATACTCATAATTTGTCTGATTCTGAAAGTAAAGCAGGTGAGGAATGTGACCAAGATCAAGAAAGAACTGACCAGGCCCCGCCTTCTGACTGGTGGTCTGCCAGGGAAGCATGCTACCTCTCTGCGTCTATCCCACTGCTCTCCCACATAGCGTTGGCATTTGAAGACGATACCTGTATGTTACAGTAATTCTTTTTGGAGATGAAGGAAACCTGAACAGGGAAGAAGTCGTTGGGCTGCCCAGCAATGCTAAACTCTAGACTGCCACTCTTGTTTTTGGCATCGATCACTGGTAGGCACCACTCCAAGGTGTTCCGTCGACTGTCATGCCGATACTCCCCGTCGATCTCGCCTATCACAGGAGCACCAACGCCAGACCTGTTGTGAGAAACATCCATCATGCTAGCTGTCCAAAGAAGTAACTCCACCACAGAAAGCCACCCCCAAAACTGAGTATGCTCCTCACATGCTGCCTTCTAGAACTGCAAATTTTAGGTTCCTAGAAAAAATTAGGCTCCCTAATAATCTTAAGGATCAAAGTTTTAGTAGTTGTGCTAAGAGTCTCACTCATTTTCGTCTGTGAGGCTGAGGGTCTCACTCATTTTCATCTCTACACAACAATAGGTACTTGCGGGGACAGCAAGTGGCATAGTGGTCAAGAGCATTGGACTCTCACATGGCTAACCATAGTTTCAGTCCCGGATCTGGCGGCTTGCTTCCTCACTTTCTCTGTCTCTCATTTACTCGCTCTCTCTGTCCCTCTCTAGTTAAATAAATAAATAAATACCAGTAAAATAATTCTTTAAAAAAGAAAAAAAAAAAAAAAAAACAACAGGACCTGCAGTTGGCGCAGTGGCTATGTTGCTGGACTCCCATGTAGTTGACTATGGTTCGAGTCCCAGACCTGGTGGCTTAAACTCACACTGGGTGCATCTGAGTGTGTGCCCAAGATCCGGAGAGGAGAATGGAGAAGGAATTGTGGTGTGGCAATCCCCCCTGGGGGGTGATTTCTCGCTTTCTGTCTCTGTCTTTCTGGCAAGTTCATGTGCCGTACAGCAAAAAACTTCTCCAAAAAAGAAAAAAAAACAGGGAACCAGCAGTTAGCGTAATGGCTATGTCGCTGGACTCCCATGTAGTCGACCGCAGTTCCTGTCCTGGACCCAGTGGCTTAAAACTCATGCCGGGTGTGTGTGTGTGTGTGTGTGTGTGTGTGTGTGTGTGTGTGTGTCCAAGATCCTGAGAGGAGAACGGAGGAGAAGGGATTGCGGCGTGACCATCCCCTCTGGGGGGTGATTTCTCGCCTTCTGTCTCTCTGTCTCTGTCTGTTTGGCGGGCGCACACACCCTATAGTGAAAAAACCTCTCAAGAAAAGAAAAAAAAAAAAAAAGGAAAAAAACAAAAAGAAAAAAGAAAAAAACAATAGGTATTGGCAGATACAGTCGTGCACTGCTCCAGCTCAAGGACTAGACCTGGGAGCCAGCCGGGCATGAGACAACTGTGTGGGTGGGAAATGTTTCCAGAAACCTTCTACCAGTGCTTTTGTTGCCCTGTCAAAAAGGAATTATAGCATAATGCAGTGCTCTCTTTTTTTAGAGAGAGATTTTTGCTATAGGATGCATGCACTCACCAGAGAGACAGAAAGATACAGGAACAGAAAGTGAGAAATCACGCCCCGGGAGGATGGCTACTGCAATCCAAATCCCATTCTCCTCTCGGGATCTTGGGCAGGCACACACATGCACCCAGTACAAGTTTCAAGCCACTGGGTCCGGGACTCGAACCATAGTTAGCCACGTGGGAGTCCAGCGACTTAAACGTTATGCCATCTCGCCAGTCCCAATGCAGCTTTCTTATAGGTAATAACACGGAAAAAAAAGCAGATTGATAATAGTAGTGGGGAAACTAAAAACCCCAAATGGAGATAAGTTTGGGCCTTTGAGAGGATTTGTTTTTAATGTTGCAAACCTTCACTGAAGTTGATGCCAGAGGATTTATTTGACTTATAATATAGTAAGAGGACTTTTATTTGTTAAGTGAAAGCACGCTTTAACCCTGGGCAAAAGGGAAACATGCTGGCAGAAAGATAGAGGATTGTCCTTAATCAGTTAGGGAACCAGGGCTAGTTAGATGTACTCAGCTCTCCCACACCCGGCTGCCAGGCAGCATCACCTACTCCTACACATTCTAAATTTACCACATTTTAATTCACCAACAACACTCCATGCTTGTACTAGGGGCAGCATAAATAAGGCAGACAAAGAAAAATTTTAGGGTAGCATAAGATTCGTTAACTCTTCCCTATCAATTTAATGGTCCTGAGGCTTTTTTTTTTTTTTTTTTTTTTTTTTTATTTTGTGCACTCCTTATAGTGAGACAGAAAGAGAGGGAGGAAAGCATGCCCCACCCCAGGGTACAATCATGCTGTGATCCCTTCTCTCCCACTTCTCAGTCCTACTGGGATTCTGGGCATGAACACACATGCACCCAGCATGTTTTTCTTTTTTTTTTTTCAATAATTATTCTATTCTATTCATTCATTCATTCATTCATTTATTTCTTAATTTGACCATAGAGAGACAGAGGGTGAGAGTGAGAAAGTAAGTGTGAAAGCAAGCCACCAGATTCAGGACTTGAACCCTGGTTGGCCATGTGGGAGTGTCCAGCGCCTTAACCACCACGCCACCTGTTGGTCCCCCCAGCATGTTTTTCAAGCCACCATGATTGGGATTCAAACCACACAAGGTCAGACATGTTGGATCCAGTTCCCTTAATCACTGGGCCTGGTCCATCTGGGTGTCCGTGCTCTGGTCCTGATTCTGATCCCCCCCTCTTCCCCACCTGTTTTAGTGACTTTTTGTCATAGGGCACATGTGCTTACCAGAGAGAGAGAGAGAGAGAGAAAGGGAAAGTGAGAAATCACCCCCTGGGGGGATGGCCACACAATCCCTTCTTCTCCATTCTCCTCCTGGGATCTAGGGCACACACGCACATGCACCTGGCATGAGTTTCAAGCCACTGGGTCTGGGACTCGAACCGCAGTTGGCCACATGGGAGTCCAGTGATGTAAATGCTATGCCTTCTGCTGGCCCCTCTGATCCTTTTTAATCTGATTCTTCTACACAATGGAGTACAATGCTGTCTCAGGGTCGCTCCTAGAGACCATTACAAAATGGAACTAAGACACAGGAAACCACCATAACCACAATTACAGGGTAGATGGAGAGGCCAAAAAATTGTGGTATCCTAAAAATAGATTAGTAAAATAAATCTTGACAAACAAAACCCCACCTGCCACGGACGCCCAAGTCTTATAACGGTACTAGGCAGCCATCTAGTGTTCTGAAAAAATAACCACACTGTAAAGAATAACATGGTAACTCAACTGAAGGGGATATTGGTAATAAAACATGTTTTTTTTTTTGAGAGGCTTTTGTTGTAGGGTGCGTGTGCTTGCCAGAAAGACAGAGAGAGACAGAGAGACAGAAAGCGAGGAATCACGCCCTTGGGGGGGATGGCCACGCTGCAATCCCTTCTCCTCCATTCTCCTCTTGGGATCTTGGGCACGCACGCATGCGCACCTGGCATGAGTTTAAGCCACTGGGTCTGGGACTTGAACCACGGTCGACTACATGGGAGTCCAGCGACGTAGCCATTACACCAACTGCTGGTCCCAATAAAACATGTTTTTAAAAAAATGAAAATAAGCGGACCAGCAGATGGTATAATGCTTATGTCAGTGGACTCACACATGGCCAACTGCGGTTTGAGTTCCAAGCCAGGAGGTTTGAAACTCACGCCAGGCACATGTGCATGTGTGTCTAAAATTCCAAGAAGAGAATGGAGGAGAAGGGACTAGGGTATAACCATCCTCCCAGGGGGATGATTTTCTCACTTTCTATCTTTCTGTCTGTCTGTCTGTCTCTCTCTTTTTGGCAAGCACATGCGCCCTAGAACAACAATCTCTCAAAAAAAAAAAAAAAAAAAAAAAAAAAAAAAGAAAGAAGAAAATGAAAATAAGAATGACTAAACCAGACCTAAGAATATAAGTGCCTGAATTATCTAAAAGGGAGCAAAATACAAATTTAAATTTGTATGATTTTCTCACAATAATAATTAAGCAGTAAAGACATGCTATGAGGGCTAGTGGGTAGTGTGTTTGTTAAGGTGCTGGATTCCCACATGGTCAACTACGGTTTGAATCCCAGACCCGGTGCCTTAAAAAATCATACCAGGTGCATGTGCATATGTGCCCAAAGTCCCAAGAGGAGAATGGAGGAGAAGGGATTATGGCGTGGTTATCTCCAACCCTGGGGCTGACTTCTCACTTTCCCTCTCTCTCTCTTCAGAATGTGCACATAACCTATGGCAAAAATCTTAAAAAAAAAAAAAAAAAAAAAAGACACAGTAAGAATACACTTCCTGGAGTTCATAAGTAACTTCACTAATCCTGGGGAGCTGACGGTGAGGAGAGGAGCTGGATCACTGCTGAGTAATAACAGTGCACATTCTCTGGATGTGCTACTGAGGAGATAAACCTTAACACAAAGAATTTCCAGATGATCCCAGAGAGTTGGCCCTTTGTACAACAAAAACTTACACAAACTAACTCTCGAGGCTGACAAACACTTTCATTATCCTGATTGTGGTGATAGTTTTACAGGTGCACACCTATAAAAACTTACCATATTATATAATTTAAGTATGTGAATTTTATAGTTTATCAGTTATTCCTCAATAAAGTTGGTAGAAAATATATTAAGGGGCCAGCAGGTGGCATGGTGGTTAAGGGTGGCGAACTCCCACATGGCCCACCATGGTTTAAGTCCTGGACCTGGCAGCTTGCTTTCTCACTTTCCCTCTCTCTCTCTCTCTCACTCTGTCTCTCTCTGGTCAAATTAAATTAAATAGGGACCAGCAGTTAGTGTAATGGCTATGTCGGTGGACTCCCACGTAGCTGACTGCGGTTTGAGTCCTGGACTCATGCTGGGTGAGTGTGCATGCATGACCAAGATCCTGAGAAGAGAATAGAGAAGGGACTGCGGTGTGGCCATCCCCCTGGGGGTTGATGTCTCGCTTTCTGTCTCTCTGGCGCGTGCATGTACCCTATAGCAAAAACCTCTCCAATAAATAAATAAATAAATAAAGTTAAATAAAAATAATTCTTAAAAAAACTTAATAGACTTTAAAAAATGAATGAATAAATAAAATTAAATTAGTAATTCTTCTTCCTTTTTAAAATCTTAATTAATTTTATTTTAATTTGACCATACAGGAACAGAGAGAGAGAGAGAGAGAGAGAGAGAGAGAGAGAGAAAGTGACAAAGCAAGCCGCCAGGTCCAGGACTTGAAGAACCATAGTCAGCCATGTGGGAATCCAGTGTCCCCAACCACAATGCCATCTGCCTGCCCCCTAAATAAATAATTATTATTATTATTTTTTTGGAGAGGTTTTTGCTATAGGGCGCGTGCACTCATCAGACAGAGAGAAAGAGAGAGAAAGGGAGAAATCACCCCCCGCCCCAGAGGGGATGGCCATGCCGCAATCCCTTCTCTTCCATTCTCCTCTTAGGATTTTGGGCACACATGCACACGCGCCCAGTGTGAGTTTAAGCCACCGGGTCCGGGACGCGAACCACGGTTGACTACGTGGAAGTCCAGCGACATAGCCATTACGCTAACTGCTGGTCCCATTAAATAATTATTTTTTAAAAAGTTCTGCTCTCACCTTTGTGCAGATTTGAAAAGAAAAAAATTTTTATCGAAACTAATACAGCTATCTAACTTTTTAAAATTATTATTTTTTAATCTGACCAGAGAAAGACAGAGAGAGAGAGAGAAAGTGAGAAGGCAAGCCACCAGGTCCGGGACTTGATCTAAGGAGTCCAGCATCTTAACCACCACACCACCTGCTGGCCCCAGTACAGATATCTTGTTTCAGCAAGAATTACATTCCCCTTAAACATATATTCTCATCTTTAGTGATGGTTTAGAGATCAAGTGAAAAGAAAAATTCCGTCTCATAGACTCAACTGATTTGACAGCTGCAAAGCAAAACACAGGAAGTTTAACTGAGAAGTGGCTCCTCCTTTTAGAAATCATTACTATGTTATCCAGCTAAAAACAAACATCTGAATATAGCTCTAGAACTACAACTGCCTGTTGTGTTTCATCTGCTAACATCAAAGCACACAGCTCAATGCATTCTGACAAATGAATGTATGCAGTTTTGTAAGGACTACGACCATCAAAGCACAGAACATCTCTACCTTCCCCAATATTCCCTTATCCCCTTTGTAGTCAAGTGTTTCCTGATTTCTGTTCCAAGAATATCACCCTTTCCAGAAAGCTGTAGAAGGATGCAGCCTTGTATGTCTGGTTTCTTCTACAATGGGCCTCTTGAAGATACTATAGTATCTAAGATTGAAGAGTCAGCTAGGGGCTCCCTATAAAACGAGTTCCCAAAGACCAGCACCATAAGCCCAAACCTGACGTAGGAAGCAGGTCATGTGGAGGATACCACTTACGGGAGTGGGATGGTGATAACCACATCGTTGAGCTCTAAGTTATCTTCCTGTAGCTCATATTCTATGTTGACATCGCAGCCGCTTCCACTCTCCGAGGGCCAGCAATTAACTGAGGAGAAAAGCCAAGCAGTCATAATAGAACATCAGAAAAAGACTGGAGAAAAAATAAGAATGGCAACTCAATGTAGACTGACCCCTGCAGGTCTAAAACATCCTAATGTAAATCATATTAAAAATAATAATTTCAAAATGAAAGTAGAGCTGATAATTAAAATACACAAAACGTAGCACCAAGTCCATTCTGAAAGGGCATCACTTTGCAAAAGACTGCATGGCAACCAGAATAAGCCTGTACAAGCCAGGACTGCCTAATTCTTGGTGCAGACTTACTCAGTGGGAATGGCCAGGCTACTTACTTGTCAGTGGAATAAAAGACTCCTCTGTGGTCTGTAGTCTCCACTTTAGCACCCCTACATCGCTGTTGACGGGAAATGACTTCTCTGGATTCTTCAAGCCAATTAGAGACTCTGCTGTGAAAAGTTTTTTATCTACATTTGGATGGGTCTGGAAAGAGAAGAAAAGAAAAAATTCTGAGATCAGAAGACAGAAACAAACCACCTCTAGGCTAACATAGCCCTCAATCTAAACATCTCAAATAGGACACCTAACAAATTCCGACTCTTTTTGATTTTGAAGAAAGCATTCCCTTCTTCAAAGACTTTTAGAAAGCTTTAAGAATAATCAAAAAGATGAATTTCAACTTTAAAAGGTAATAAGAGGGACCAGCAGATGGCATAATGGTTATGTTGCAGGACTCACAGTTGACTACAGTTCAGGGTGTTCTATACCCAGCGGCTTAAAACACACCAGGTACATGTGTGTGTGTGGGTGCCCAAAAACTCGAGAGGAGAATGAAGAAGGGACTGCAGCATGGCCATCGCCCCTGGGGGGTGATTTCTCACTTTCTATCTCTCTGTCTTGCTCTGTCTCTGTGGTGAGTGCATGTACCCTATAGTTAAAAAAAAAAAGGCAACAATAAGCAAGTTTGTAATTGAAAAAGTTAAAGACCATTAACTAAGTCCTTTCCAAAAATACTTCACAGGGAGTAAGTAGCCTCATGGTGGGGTCAGGTCTGTCAAGCAGAAGACTGAGATCAGGCATTCGCTGCCGAAGTTAAAGCGGCCCTCCACTTATATAAAGAGGCAGGAGAGGGAAATAGTTCTGTGCAGAGTTTAGTTACAATTTTGCCTACAGAGCTAAAGCTGTTAAAACTTAGGACAATTAAGACAGTGCAGTGTTTTCTTTTCTTTCTTTGTTTTTAAAGGTTTTTGCCATAGGGCAGGGTGCACTCACTGGAGAAAAACAAAGAGGGGGGAAGTGAGAAATTACACCTCTCTAGTGGGGAAGGGCATACCACAATCCCTTCTCAATTCTCCTCTTAGGAGTTTGGGCATGCATGTATATGGGACCAGCATGTATTTTCAAGTCACCAGGCCTGGGACTAGAACTGTGGCCGGCCATGTAGGAATCCAGGCCTTAACCACCACAGTGACTATTGGCTCTAGCCAGTCCTATCTTTTTAAAACAAATCATTTTATGAGGAGAAAAAAAACAAACAAACTTTTGTTTAATAGTCTATATCCACCTTAAGAGCTAGCAAAGCTGTTATCAAATAAGTACTACTTTCTTATTTTCTTTTTTAAAAATTATTTCATTTAACTTTATTTATTCATTCATTTATTTCAATTTGACCAGAGAGGGATAGAATGTGTGTGAATGTGTGTGTGTGAGAGAGAAAGAGAGAGAGAGAGAGAGAGAGAGAGCGAGCGAGCGAGCGAGCGAGCTACCAGGTCTGGAACTTGAACTACAGTCAGCCATGTGGGAGTCCAGCACCCTTAACCACCAAGCCATCTGCTGGCCCCCTACTACTTTCAAAAGTCAATTATGTGGGAGAAAACGTAGACAAAACATACTCTTTGCTGAAAAGCCTTTTTTTTTTTTTAATTCTTTTTTTTTTTTGGAGAGGTTTTCGCTATAGGGAGTGTGCGCTTGCCAGAAGACAGAGAGAGACAGAGACAGAAAGTGAGAAATCACCCCCCAGGGGGGATGGTCACGCCGCAATCCCTTCTCCTCCATTCTGCTCTCGGGATCTTGGGCATGCATGCACATGTGCCCAGCGTGAGTTTTAAGCCACTGGGTCTGGGACGTGAACCGCGGTCGACTACGCGGGAGTCCAGCGACATAGCCATTACACTAACTGCTGGTCCCCCCCCCCCTTTTTTTAAGAGAGATTTTTGCTGTAGGGTGTGGACACTCGATAGAGAGACAGAAAGTAAGAAATCACCCACCAGGAGGATGGCAACACAATAATCCCTTCTCCTCCATTCTCCTCTCAGAATTTTGGGCACGTGCGCATACATGTCTGGAGTGAGTTTTAAGCCACTGGCTCCAAGCCTCGAACCACGGTCAACTACATGGGAGTCTAGCAACCTTTAAGCGTTACTCCATTTGCTGGTCCCAGCCTTTGTTCTTATGACAAGAGACAAGATCAGCCACCCAAATAAGCAACTATTAAACACAAAAGAAGGGCTCGAATGTATCTAATAGAACAAACACATTTTCTTTCCTTTTTTTTTTTTGGGAGAAGTTTGTGCTATAGGGCACCTATGCTCACCAGAAAGACAGAGAGAGACAGAGAGACAGAAAGCGAAGAATCATCCCTCCGGGGGGATGGCCATGCTGCAGTCCATTCTCCTCCATTATCCTCTCAGGATCTTGGGCACGCACGCACATGCACCCGATGTGAGTTTAAGCCACTGGGTCTAGTTTGGGTCAACTCGAATCACGGTTGACTACATGGGAGTCCAGCGACATAGCCATTATGCTAACTACTGGTCCCCAAACACATTTATTTTTTAAGGATCTTATGTGCTTTCCGAATATAACACTAGATATTAGCCTTTAGCTAATTCATACACAGGCAGAGTGAATAAATTTAATATCATACCTGTTTTAATAAATATCTTACTTAAAGTTTTTATTTTTTTAAGAGTTTTTTTTGCGAAGCCAGAAGGTGGCACGGTGGTTCAAGGCACTGGATTCCCTCATGGCTGACTGCGGTTCAAATCCTGGACCTGGCGGCTTGCTTTCTTGCTTTCCCTTTCTCTCTCTCTCGCCAGACTCTTTTAAAAAAGGAAACAATAAGTGGAATTAAATAAATTTAAAAGAAAAAGAATTTTTTGATATAGGGTGTGTACACGTACCGGAGAGACAGAAAGACAGAAAGTGAGAACTAACCCTCCGAGGGGAATAACCATGCCATTAACCCTTCTTCCCATTATCCCCCTGGGTGTACACACACACGTACCCGGTGTGAGCTTCAAGCCAGCAGGTCTAGGACTTAGACCATGGTCAACTACAAGAGAGTCCAACAATGTAATCATTATGCCATCTGCTGGTCCTAACTTATTTAAAGTTTTAAAACTGTGCTATTAGGGCCAGCAAGTAGTGTTATGGTTAAAGCACTGCACTCCCACATGGCAGACCACAGTTCCAGTTCCAGACCTGGCAGCTTGCTTTCTCACTTTCATTCTCTCACTCTCTCTAAACAAAACAAAACAAAACAAAACAAAACACAAAACAACACTTTGCTGTTTTTTTGGGTCAGCATGTGGCATGAAGGTTAAAGCACTGGATCCCACCTGGCCAACTCCCAGACTCAGTGGCTTGAGAATCATGCCCGGGTGCATGTGTTTCCATGCCCAAAATCCTAAGAGGAGAAGGGATTGAGGCATGGCCATTCCCCCTGAGGGGTGATTTTTCACTTTCATTTTCTCTCTCTGGCTAATGTAAGGATTCTATAGCAAAAAAAGAAAACAGAACCTTGCTGTTTTTAAAAATTGTTTCAAGCCAAGATCCTAAATGAATTATTTTATTCTTTTTGTAAAAGATGAACATTACCTTGTATCTTTTGTTAGTGAATGTGGAATCATTTATAAAATTTAAAAATGACCTTTCACTCAATTCCATTATTTAAAAGCCATTCTAATGCAGCTCTTATCAATCATTCTCAGATCTACAAAATAAAATAAATTTACTTCTTTCCTGGGCATGTAGTACACTAGTTATATGGGGGAGGGGAGGTCAAAAAATTCATGGACAGTGCTTATTAAGAAAAACTATGCATGCATTTTCAATTTTTTTTTTTTGCATCAAAATAAACTCATACTTTAATTCCATATTTTCACAAACTCTTTGAAGTACCCTCATATAACTTAATTTTCTATGGTCTGTGGTTCATACAAGGCACTCTAGTTATCAAAGATGGTGCTAGGTAGACAAAAAAGTCTTAGTACTCCCTATCCAAAGGCTCTACAGGCTCCGCTGAGGTAGCACAGGTGGCAGGGCCCATCTCTGATCCTGGTTGGCTAGAAGGCTGCAGGGAGACTGAGGCATGGTGAAACCCTGTCAAGGGTATCTGTCTCTCTCTCTCTCAAAAAATAAACAGAAATAGACAAGCCTAGGGGGACAAAAAAAGCATCTACACACCTGTAGCTGTACCCCTTTCTTATCTTCATTCTCCACGTGAAGACGAATTCGGCCAAACTTGTCATCTGAGATCCTGAGCATAATCATTCCGTGAAGCTCCATGTTCTGCAACCCTCCATCACGTCCACAGGTCAGTGTGATCTTTTCTTCAATCTTCATATGCACACTGTGAAGAAAAAGTAATAAATCTGTTCAAGGGTAGAAACCAGAACTCCCTTTTCTCCAGGTTTTAATGATGATTGGGCAGCAAAGACTTTTTAAATTCTTCCTGAAAAAAGTTTATTTGTGGGGCTGGCAGGTGGTGTAGTGGTTAAGGGCGCTAGACTCCCACACAGCTGGCCATGGTTTGAATCCTGGACCTGGTGACTTGCTTTCTCACTTTCCTCCACCTCTCTCTCATTCTGTCCCTCTCTGGTCTAAATAAATAAACAAATTAATAAATAGATAAATAACATTAAATAAAAAATAATTTTAAGAAAACACTTTCCTATAATTTTTTCTTGATGATAGACAGTGCATGTATATGCGCAACAGAAGCAGAGAGAGGGAAAGACAGAAGCACTCTATTTTTTTTTAAAGAATCATTTTATTTAACTTTATCATTATTATTTTCTAGCTCGATCAGAGAGAGACAGAGCAAGAAAGAGGAGTGAGAAAGCAAGCAACCAGGTCCGAGACTTGAACCGTGGTCGGCCATGTGGGAGTCCAGTGCCTTTAACCACCATGCCACTTGCTGGCCCCAGAGGCACTCTTGACATCTGTGATTCCCTTTCTCCAGCTTCTTGGGATCTTGGTCATGTGTGTTTTCAAGCCAATCCTGGAATCTAGACTGTGGTCAGCCACATGGCTTCTAGCGCTATAGCTCAGTTTGCTACTGACCATACCCCCAGGGTGGACCAACAGTTTTGTTTTAAAATGCTGCTATATATCTATCAAAATTTAACACATTATACTCTTGGATCAAACAATTCCTCTCTAGAATTTATCTTACAGATAATTAAACATATTTATCCTACAGACAAATTCACACCTATTCAAAACAATGTACTAAGTTAGCCACTGAAGAATTGTAAAAGTTTAAAACAACTGGGGACCAGCAGGTGGTGTGGTGGTTAGGGTGCTGGACACTCCCACATGGCCAACCATGGTTCGAGTCCTGGACCTGGTGGCTTGCTTTCTCACTTTCCTTCTCTCTGTGTGTCTCTCTCTCTGGTCAAATGAAAAAAAAAAGAATAAATAAATAAATAAATAAATAAATAAATAAATAAATAAATAAATAAAATTAAATAATTCTTAAAAAAGAAAGTTTAAAACAACTTAAATGTCCATCAATAGGGCGTTGCCTGGGTTGCCTGATGGTTAAGGTAGCTGGATTGCCATGGATGAACTGTACAGTTCAAATTCAGATCAGGAGGCTTGGAAAACAAGCCAGGTATGTGTGAATACGTGCCCAAAAGCCCAAAAGGAGGACAAATGTAAGAGAAGGAATTGTAGCATAATGATCCCCCATGAGGGGTGCATTCTTACTCCTCCCCCTCTTGTGAGTACATACAATCTCTAGTAAAAAAAAAAAAAAGGAGTTGCATAAATGTATTTTTATCCACACACAAATGAATACTAGGTAGCTATAAGGGAAAGAAAAAAACTTCCTATTTGAAAATAACTTCAAACTTTAAAAAAATTAGAAATGAATATAAGAAATACAGGGGCTGGCAGGTGGTGTGGTGGTTAAGGGCATTGGACTCCCACATGGCTGACTGTGGTTTGAGTTCCAGACCTGGAGTCCTGCTTTCTCAGTTTCCTTCTCTCTCTCGAGTCTCTCTCTGGAAACATTAAAATAATAATAAATAAATAAAGTTAAATAAAGTTCTTAAAGAAAAAAAAGAAATATGTATATACCCTTTATCCAGATTTATCTATTGTTAACATTTTATTCCATTTATTTTATCATTTGTATGTATTCTTTTTTCCTTCTTTATTTTAATTTACTACAGAGTGCATGCATTTCCAGAAAGAGAGAAAGTGAGAGAAGAGAAATTGTGAAAGCTTGCTCCAAGGAAGATGACCATATACCAATCCTTTCTCCTCCGTTCTCCTCTTGAGAATTTTGGGCATGCATGCACACAAACTCAAGCTGCCAGATCCAGGACTTGAACAATGCAGTTGGCTATGTAGGACCCAGACACTTTAATTATTAAGCCACCAAGTGGCCCTCTATTCTCTCTTTTGAAATGTTTTATTTGTTTACTTATAAATAAATAAATCAAGCAAGCAAGCAAGCAAGCATGTATGCATGCATGCATGTAGGTATATATTTGCATTTTCCCCTGAACCACTGAAGAGGCAAGTTAAATATATTACGGTATTTTACCCCTAAATACATACTTTGGTGTATAGTTTGCTTGAAAATCACACAAGGTGCTTATGTGGGCATGCCCAAAATCCTAGTAGGAGAATGAAGGAGAAGGGACTACAGCATGGCCATGCCCACTCTCTCTCTCACTGTCTGTCTGTCTCTTTCTTCCTTGTGAGTGCACATGCCCTATGGCAAAAACCTTAAAAGAATACATAAATAAAATAAAGTGTTGGGATCAGCCCCACAGTGCAATGTCAAGTACTGTGCACAGGGTGCTACATTCTACAGCTCAAAATCTGATTCCAGTGGCTTGGAAAACACACCATGTATGTGTGTTCACATGCCCCAAATCCTGACAGCGTGGAGAAATGGGAAAATGGGGACCAGCAGATGTCACAATGGTTACGTGCTGGACTCCCACACAGTTTACCATGGTTCAAGTCCCAGACCCGACAGCTTAAAACTCAGGTGGAGCGCATGCCCAAAATCTTGAGAGGAGAATGGAGGGGAAGGGACTGCAATATAGCCATCCCCCTGGGCGTAGCCCAAAATCTCTGTCTCTCTGTCTCTCTCTACCTCTCTGTGAGAGAGCACATGCTCTGTATAGCAAAAATCTCTCTTAAAAAAAAAAAAGAAAGAAAGAAATAGAGGAAATGGATTGCAGACTGATCACATTCTATTGGGAAGTTCTTACCATCCCTCTCTCTAAAACACCCTCTGGTCAGGAAAAAAAAATAAAAAAGTACAAGGGGGTCTTCAAAAAGTTCATGGGAGGTGCTGGCAGGTGGCGTGGTGGTTAATGACACTGGATTCCCACGTGGCCAACTGTGATTTGAATCCCAGCCCTGATGGTTTGCCCCCCCCCCCCTTCACTCACTCACTCACTCACTCATTCTGTGCTTCTCTGGTCCAATTTAAACGGCGTGAGTTTTAAGTCACCGGGTCCGGGACGCGAACCGCAGTTGACTACGTGGGAGTCCAGCGACATAGCCATTACGCTAACTGCTGGTTCCCCAATTTAAACTATTTAATAAATAAATAAATTTAAATAAAACAATTTTTTTAAGGAATTATTTATTTGACTTTGCTTATTCATTTATTTATTTTAATTGGACCAAAGAAAGAGACAGAGACACAGAGAGAGAGAGAGAGAGAGAGAGGAAGTGAGAAAGCCAGCCACTGGGTCCAGGACTTGAACCATAGTTGGTTATGTGGGTGTCCAGCACCTTAACCATTATGCCACCTGCTGGTCCCTAAAATAATTCTTGGAAAAAAAAAAAGTTCATGGGAAATGCATATTATAAAGACACTATGCAGGGATTTCAAAATTATTTTGCACCAAAATATACTCATACTTTAATTTCATTTTTCTATAGACTTCTTGATACCCTTTTGTATGAGCTATCCATATTCTATAACAGAACTATTTTTAGCCCAGTAAAACTGTAGAGGCTATCCAGATTATTTTGGTATACTGTTCTGCTCTCTGTTCCAGCCTCTTAGGTCCTCCCAGAAACAAAGGCATCAAACTGAAGACCACAAAAGAGGGTATCTTAAGACAAGGCAGGGTCCCATTTTGACTTTATGAGAGTTTGCTCTTTGCTAAGGAGATACCATTTAGAAAGAGTTTTTCTGTGATGGTCTTCAACATCTTTTTAAATGTATGAAACCTCTGTGTCACTCAAAGCAACTACCAGAAATAGTACAGGACATTTATCCTGACGTAACCCTGCTACTTCATGCAAAACAAGATGTATAAAGAGTAAATACTCCTCTTTCCTGCACACCTGATAGAGGTAGCCTCTTAGACTCATCTTTCACTTGACCTCAAAACCATCAGCAACAGTAGAAAGTCTGGGCTTCAAGACAAGAAATCTGAGTCATGAATATGTGAACTTGATAACTACCACTTAAAAATGTCACCAGGCAGTACCAAAGCACGGAGATAAGACTCAAATCAAAATATTCTACACTAAGCTCAAATACTTAAAAAGCAAAAGATAACATGTTAATTTTCTGTTAAAGGTATTTATAAATTCTGAATTAAAGATTGTTTCTCTTTATAGTTTAATTAGAAAAAGACATACCTGGGGCCAGCAGGTGGTGTGATGGTTTAAAGGTGCTGGACTCCCACATGACCAACTACGGTTTGAGTCCTAGACCTAGTGGCTTGCTTTCTCACTTTTCCTCCCTCTCACTCTATCCTACCCTAGTCAAAACTTAAAATAAATACATAAATAAATAAATTTAAATAAAAAAAATAGTTTTAAAAAAAAAAAGGTATGCCGAAATACACCGGAAATATCATAGCTCAAGTTTCCTAATTTAAGTCCATTTTAGGGGACAGGCTACACACAAGGCATAACAACAAATTATTTTTGTTAACTTAGCCAATAAAAGATGACGCAGTGGTTAAAGGCACTGGACTCCCACATAGCTCACCATGGTTCGAGTCCCGGACCTGGAGGCTTTCTTTCTCTCTCTGTCTCACTCTGGTCAAATTAAAAACAATAATGAGGGGCCAGCAGGTGGTGTGGTGGTTAAAGTGCTGGACATTCCCACATGGCCAACCGCAGTTCAAGTCCTGGGCCTCGTGGCATGCTTTCTCACTTCTCTTCTCTCTGTGCGTCTCTCACTGGTCAAATTAAAATAAATGAATGAATAAAGAAAATTAAATAATTATTTTTAAAAAAAAAAATAAATAAAAGATAAATAAAAGAACTAATTCTTCGGGAAAAAAAAGAGAGAGACAAGCTACACACAAGGCATGATAACAAGTTACTTTTGTTAACTCGGCCAATAAAAGACAAGTTCTACATTTAAACAAAAGAAAAAGGAAAAAAACGACCTTTCACTACTTAAGAGCATGCACTGAATAAATCTTTTAAATCAAGAAAGAGTAAAAGGCACAGAAAAACTTATAGCACACTGAAATAAGAGTTTTGTTTTTGTTTTGTTCTTATTTAAAATTTTCTTCTCCTCTAGTCTCCCCTTGAGATTTTGGGCACGCAGGCACATAACACCTGGCGCAACTTTTAAGCCACCAGGTCAGGGACTTGAACTGGGCTGTTGGCCATTTGGGGTCCAGCACCTTTACCTCCACACCACCTGCTGGTCCTGAAATAAGATTTTAAAAAATATTATACGATCTGTTCTTACTCAAAAGTTACTAGTACCTTTCTATATTAATAGGTGGAGTATGAGCTTTGGTTGCTTCAGAGGTACGCTTGCCCACATTGGAGGACATGATAGTTTCACCTTCAGATTTCAATTTGTCCACGAAGTTATCTACTTCCTTTCCTTTGGCTCCAAGTTTCAAAGCCTTGCTGGGGCCTGAAGGCCTAAGTGGAATAATACAGAACAAAAGATACATGATTGAACTACAAACTCCAAACATTAATTAATGACCCCATATCAATGAAGGTTTCCCTAAATTCAAGAAGAATGTGAAAATCTCAAGGAAAAAACTCAAGCTTCCTAGTGTTGATGGACAAATAAATAAGACTATTCACAGTCTGATATATAAACCTGCTCCAACTGTCAGCTAACAGTCACTATTACCATGTAAATTTTGTGTGCCTAAAGACCAAAGGTCTACCTTTATAACTATATAAGATCTGATAAAAAAACTTTGCACCTTCCACCTAGGTAAATATACCTGTGTACAAACAAAATTTTTCATATTATCTCAGTAGTTCAGTCTGCCCCTGAAGTCAATCCTTGAACCCAAAGTTCTACTGAACAATTAAATATCTCCTTCCTTCCCATAGGAAACTGAGGTCATGGCATAATTGGCAAAAGAACTCCCCTTTACACCAAAGGAGAAACACTACATTCAGATTCTTCCTTTATACCCATATTTTATGTAATCAAATTTAACACTGCATCTTATTTCATTAAGTCCTTCATCATTTACAGCTTGCCTAGAAATCAGACATGCAGATTTCATCTGCTATTCTAGAGCTACTGGTAATACGCAGGAGTATTACCTGGCTGGTGCAGGTGCCACTTTTGGTTTATCAGTTTCAATGATGGTCTCTGTGATCATGGCTGCTGTGCTGCCTCCAGATACTGTAGAGCTGCCAAATCCCCCAAATCCTGGTGCTTTTTTGCCCTGTCTTTCTGCATCTCTTCGGGCCTGTTGTAATTCCTTTGCTTTACGCCTCATCTCGGCCTTAGCTTCACGTTCTTGAGTCTACAAAAAGAGACATACGTGGGTGCAGCTTTGAGTACTGTCTACATGCACACGTGGAAACTGGAAAATCAAATTACTGAAGCCCGAGACAGACATAAACACCAACAGTCCCAGAAGACCTTATTTACCTCTCTGACTGCTCTGAACACTTTCTCCTCATGAGAATCCATTTCTGTGAAGGTTCTTATCTGTGCCAGGTTAACATTTTCCCGGTATCCCAGGGCGACAATTTCATCAAAAGCAAAAATCAAGTCAAAACAGTGCTCAGATATTTCATTCTCCTCTAAGGCTCGGCAATACTCAGGGATCTAATCATGGACAGCAATGGAAAAGAAAGATTTAGAATTCATCAGCAGCTATGTTTTCAAGTCTTATCTTTTAAGGTATGCAATCAATAGACTCAAACTTCTCTTTTGGCTCCTTTTAATCTTCATTTTAAGCAAGACTTTGGCATAATGACTTTGTATTTGTGTGTGTGTGTATGTGTATCAGTAAGTCTTATCTAAAAAAGCATTACCTAAAAATCTTGGCCAAACAAGAATCAGAACCAAAAAGGCGATTCAAGTACCTACTTAAGAACTGGGAAATGTGGGGCCGGCAAGTGGTGTGGGGGTTAAGAGCACTGGACTCCCACATGGCCAACCATGGTTCAAGTCCTGGACCTGGTGGCTTACTTTCTCACTTTCCTTCTCTTTCTTACTCTGTCTCTATAGTCAAATTTAAATAACTAAATAAAATAATTAAAAAAAAAAAAGAATTGGGAAATTAAAGGAAAGTTCACACATTCTTTTCTGAGATAATTATAGCCTAGAAGGACACTCAATTAATGTTCTTGAATAGCACTGAATAAATCTTTTAAATCAAGAAAGAGTAAAAGGCACAGAAAAACTTATAGCACACTGAAATAAGAGTTTTGTTTTTGTTTTGTTCTTATTTAAAATTTTCTTCTCCTCTAGTCTCCCCTTGAGATTTTGGGCACGCAGGCACATAACACCTGGCGCAACTTTTAAGCCACCAGGTCAGGGACTTGAACTGGGCTGTTGGCCATTTGGGGTCCAGCACCTTTACCTCCACACCACCTGCTGGTCCTGAAATAAGATTTTAAAAAATATTATACGATCTGTTCTTACTCAAAAGTTACTAGTACCTTTCTATATTAATAGGTGGAGTATGAGCTTTGGTTGCTTCAGAGGTACGCTTGCCCACATTGGAGGACATGATAGTTTCACCTTCAGATTTCAATTTGTCCACGAAGTTATCTACTTCCTTTCCTTTGGCTCCAAGTTTCAAAGCCTTGCTGGGGCCTGAAGGCCTAAGTGGAATAATACAGAACAAAAGATACATGATTGAACTACAAACTCCAAACATTAATTAATGACCCCATATCAATGAAGGTTTCCCTAAATTCAAGAAGAATGTGAAAATCTCAAGGAAAAAACTCAAGCTTCCTAGTGTTGATGGACAAATAAATAAGACTATTCACAGTCTGATATATAAACCTGCTCCAACTGTCAGCTAACAGTCACTATTACCATGTAAATTTTGTGTGCCTAAAGACCAAAGGTCTACCTTTATAACTATATAAGATCTGATAAAAAAACTTTGCACCTTCCACCTAGGTAAATATACCTGTGTACAAACAAAATTTTTCATATTATCTCAGTAGTTCAGTCTGCCCCTGAAGTCAATCCTTGAACCCAAAGTTCTACTGAACAATTAAATATCTCCTTCCTTCCCATAGGAAACTGAGGTCATGGCATAATTGGCAAAAGAACTCCCCTTTACACCAAAGGAGAAACACTACATTCAGATTCTTCCTTTATACCCATATTTTATGTAATCAAATTTAACACTGCATCTTATTTCATTAAGTCCTTCATCATTTACAGCTTGCCTAGAAATCAGACATGCAGATTTCATCTGCTATTCTAGAGCTACTGGTAATACGCAGGAGTATTACCTGGCTGGTGCAGGTGCCACTTTTGGTTTATCAGTTTCAATGATGGTCTCTGTGATCATGGCTGCTGTGCTGCCTCCAGATACTGTAGAGCTGCCAAATCCCCCAAATCCTGGTGCTTTTTTGCCCTGTCTTTCTGCATCTCTTCGGGCCTGTTGTAATTCCTTTGCTTTACGCCTCATCTCGGCCTTAGCTTCACGTTCTTGAGTCTACAAAAAGAGACATACGTGGGTGCAGCTTTGAGTACTGTCTACATGCACACGTGGAAACTGGAAAATCAAATTACTGAAGCCCGAGACAGACATAAACACCAACAGTCCCAGAAGACCTTATTTACCTCTCTGACTGCTCTGAACACTTTCTCCTCATGAGAATCCATTTCTGTGAAGGTTCTTATCTGTGCCAGGTTAACATTTTCCCGGTATCCCAGGGCGACAATTTCATCAAAAGCAAAAATCAAGTCAAAACAGTGCTCAGATATTTCATTCTCCTCTAAGGCTCGGCAATACTCAGGGATCTAATCATGGACAGCAATGGAAAAGAAAGATTTAGAATTCATCAGCAGCTATGTTTTCAAGTCTTATCTTTTAAGGTATGCAATCAATAGACTCAAACTTCTCTTTTGGCTCCTTTTAATCTTCATTTTAAGCAAGACTTTGGCATAATGACTTTGTATTTGTGTGTGTGTGTATGTGTATCAGTAAGTCTTATCTAAAAAAGCATTACCTAAAAATCTTGGCCAAACAAGAATCAGAACCAAAAAGGCGATTCAAGTACCTACTTAAGAACTGGGAAATGTGGGGCCGGCAAGTGGTGTGGGGGTTAAGAGCACTGGACTCCCACATGGCCAACCATGGTTCAAGTCCTGGACCTGGTGGCTTACTTTCTCACTTTCCTTCTCTTTCTTACTCTGTCTCTATAGTCAAATTTAAATAACTAAATAAAATAATTAAAAAAAAAAAAGAATTGGGAAATTAAAGGAAAGTTCACACATTCTTTTCTGAGATAATTATAGCCTAGAAGGACACTCAATTAATGTTCTTGAATAAGGAGCCGCAGCAATAGCCACTGTGAGTGTGTGTGTGCATATGTGTGTGTGTGTGTGTGTGTGTGTATACAGAGCCTGCAAGCTGATAAGCACCAGCTACTTTGGGGGAAAAATTAGCTTCACATAAAATGTTGGACCCAGTATAACAGAAAGATTCTTACCACTCTTGAGAAGAGTCTCAAGGTTTCTAAATCTTCTAAAATGTTGCTGTTTTTGGTGGTAATCAGTACCATGTACAGTTTTTCCATAGGCTGGTAGACATATCTGACACTCTCTGTTTCAACAAACGTATGCTGTTTTCCAGTGTTCATGAGCTTCGGAAAAGCTGCTAATAAGCCCTCAATCCGAGTTCGGGTCATCTCCACAAACTGTCGGGAAACAATGGCCTTTCCAGCTTTCGTGCAAACTGCTGCTGCCAACAGCACCTGCCAGGAACGTATATAAATAAGTACTAATCAGTTATTTATTCATATCTACTTTCTTAACATCGTGGTACATCTTCCAGAGAATGACACTCTCATCTAGTGACATCACAATTAGAATGCCACCTTTCAAATTGTACTTCATTGTTTTTTAATTCTAGTCTTCAGTTTATAAGACAAAACAGAAGTACAGGAAACTGAAGCGATTATTCCTAGGTTTCAGTAACACAATTAAAGAAAAACTGAGTATAGAAATAATCTTTGTTCAAGCCCATACATATATTTTTTTCCTTTCTTAGGTTTTTGCCAGAGGGTACATGCACTCAGCATAGACAGTAAGAGGGAAAGTGAGGAATCACCCCCAGAATGGATAGTCATGCTGCCATTCCTTCTCCTCCATTCTCTTAGAATTTTGGGCACATACACATACATGTCCGGTGTGATTTTCAAACCGCTAAGTCAGGGACTTGAACTGTGGTCAGTCATGTGGGAATCTAGCACCTTAACTGCTATGTCACCTACTGGCCCCAAGCCCATACATATTAATGGGTCCCTTGCGACTCAGAACTGGATTGCTCTCTACTTTGGCAGACCTATAAAGAATAGCTTAAGGGGCCCGCAGGTGGTGTGGTGGTTAAGGGCACTGGACTCCCACATGGAAAGCTGAAGTTCAAGTCCTGGACCTGGTGGCTTGCTTTCTTACTTTTCATTTCTTTCCTTTTTCCCTCTCTCCCTCTGTCCCTCTCTGGTCAAATATGAAATAAATTAATAAATAAATAAAGTTAAATAAAATAATTCTTTTTTCTTAAATTTAACTTTATTTTAATTTGACCAGAGAGGGACAGAATGTGTGTATGTGAGAGAGAGAAAGAGAGAGTGAGAAAGCAAGCCACCAGGTCCAGGACTTGAATCACAGTTGGTCATGTGGGAGTCCAGCGCCCTTAACCACCACGCCACCTGCCGCCACAAATAAAATAATTCTTAAAAAAAAAAAAAAAAAAAGAAAAAAAAAAAAAAGAATAACCTAAGTTGGGTCCAGCAGGTGGCAGGGTGGTTGAGGCACTGGACCCCCACAGGGCTGATAGTGGTTCAAGTTCTGGACCCGACGGCTTGCTTTCTTACTTTCCTGCTCTCTCTCTAACTCTGGCAAGTGCATGTGCCCTGTAGCAAAAAATTTAAAAAAAATAAGAAGCATTTAGGTAAAAATTAGCATCAAGGGTAACATGAAAGGGAAAAGTAACAAAAAGGTATATGCTATAGAGAGGAGCGATCCATCCATTTTGCTATATTGACACAGCGTGTTCAAAGACTAATGACAGGAATTGGCAAGCTCCATTTCAGCAATGTAATTTTAAGAATTAACTGCAGGGACCAGCAGGTGGCGAGGTGGTGATGGTGCTGGACACTCCCACATGGCCAACCATGGTTCAAGTCCCGGACCTGGTGGCTTACTTTCTCACTTTCGCTCTCTCTCTGTGTGTGTGTCTCTCTTTGGTCAAATTAAAAAAAAAAAAAGAATAAATGAATAAAAATTAAATAACTCTTTAAAAAAAAGAATTAACTGAAGAATTTGGTGTCAGCAGGTGGTGCAGTGGTTAAGGTACTGGACTCCCATATGGCTGACCACGGTTCGAGTCCCAGACCTGGTGGCTTCCTTTCTCACTTTCCCTTTCTCTCTCTCTGGTCAAATTAATGATAACAACAACAACAAATAAAATAAATTAAAAAAGAATTAACTGAATAATTATTGAATGCCTATTATCACACTAGATGCTCTTCTGAGAATTAAGAATAAACAGACTGGCATTTTGCCTACAAGAAGCTTAGTAGAGACCTAGCTGCAGTAGAGGCACTGCTGCATGATGGTGAAAGCCATAAAGCAAAGTCCCAGGTTCATATCCTGGGTCTACCTGAACATGCCAGTGCATCACCTGTGATCCTGGCTGGCTGCAGGGGCAGGATCATAGTGCACAGGGAAGACCCTGTAGAGTCCTTCTCCCTCTCTTTATTTCCATCCCTCATGGAGAAAAAAGCTTGCACACACACAAATTAGTAGACATAAGATACAAACATAAATAAATATAATATGAGGAAGAATATATTAAGAAACATGAGCAAGTCAACTGGTAAAGTTAACTATGAGAATTCAATGAAGAAACAGATTATTTATAGTTGGTAAGATCAGGAAAGACTTGGTGGAAGAAATAGCATCTAAATTATGCTTTGATGAATTTGGAGATCTCAGTATTTAAAAATGAAGAAAACATGGGGCTAGCACGTGACATAGTGGTTACTGTTCAACTCCCACATCTGGTGGCTTGAAAATCATACCACGCACATATTTTGGGGGATACATGCCCAAAATCCCAGGAGAAGAAGGGATGTGGTGTGGTCATTCTCCCTTACGGGGATTTCTCACTTTCCCTCTCATTGTCTCTTTCTGTTTCTCTCTGGTGAACACGAGCATCCTATGTCAAAAACCTTAAAAACAAATAAATAAGGGGGCCAGCAGGTGGCATGGTAGTTAAGGGACCGGACTCCCACATGGTCCACTACTGTTCAGGTCCTAGATCTGGTGGCTTGCCTCTCACCTTTCTCTCTCTAGTCAAATTAAAATAAATAAATAAATAAAATAGCCCTTAAAATAAATAAATAAATGAATAATAAAAAATGAAGAAAACAGGAGCTATCAGGTGGTATGGTTAAGGCGCTGGACATTCCTACATGGCTGACTACGGTTCGAGTCCTAGACCTGGTGGCTTGCTTTCTCACTTTCCTTCTCTTTGTGCGTCTTTCTCTGATCAAATTAAGATAACTGAATGAATAAATAAAATTAAATAAATTAAAAAAAATGAATGAAACAGGATAAAATAGTAGGTTTCAAGCAGGAAAACTCTGGGATCTTTGAGTTATTTTATTGTCCAGATATAAGCAAACA